CTTGCGGTCATGGGTGCCGAGGAACCTGTGCCCTGTTGCACACATTTCAAGCCGCCTGGGATACAAGAGCAGGTAAATAAGTTCAAAGGACAAATGACAGAGAGTTCAATTAGTGTTGTCGACCTTATATCTCCACTGTCAGCCAAAATAAAGATGTTGGAGAAACAGTTAGCGGAACAAAATGAGAAACTAAAGTTGTTTGACTCATTCGGAGATTTCCTTATGTCAGTTTGATACATAAATCAGTCTCCGGCTAATCCAACGCAAAAGCACAAAATTGGAGCATTAAACTTCCTAAATGCAGTCGCCTCTGAGGTTACTCAAAGATGCAAAAGGGGGGAAAACGCCATCGCCCTCAACATAACTGACAATATCGCGATTGACAACATTAGGCATACTGTTTCGAGGGCGTGCAACATCGCTGAGACCGATATTAGTTGTAGAAGATTGAGGAAAACATTTTTTACGTTTTCCTTGTCCGACCCTGTTCAGCTTTCGTAGCGAAAGTCTCATAAGTTCCCTTACCAAAAGTCAAAATACTTCAAGATCTGTTCCAAAATTTTGCAAAGTTATTCTATTCGAAGACTGGTCACTTTTGCAACGTGAGCTTCAATACATGAGTGCAACTAATGTCTCGCCTGAGCCAAAGCAGAGTCATCCCTCTTGCGAGCTTCCTGGACTGTCAAGAAGGAGGTCATTCAACAGTGTTTGGTTCTACCCTTCTAAAAACCCAGATAATGTTAGCAAGGCCACTCTCCACATGAGCGATTCTAAGTCTGACGACAGCGTAGCGGAAATTGAGATTCTTACACCTCCACACCACATTAGTCTTGTGGACATAGGAAATGGTGTAAATTCACTCGACGCACCACGTTCTGACAAACCAGTAGATATTGGGATTAATCCCCATACCACTCTTGAAACAGATACAAGTCCAAAAACATCAGAAGGGACTATCGATAGCTCCAGTGAAGGTACATTACGGCCCATTGCCATTATGACTACACATAGCAGTGGTCATGGTCCGCGCCATAAGCGTCATAGATCAAACAGGGGCCTTCGTGCTGGAAAGGTGACTCCCCGTGTCCCAATGACAATCGTGAATAATAATGCAGCTGCACAGAGTGGCAAGCCACAATTCCCCATTGTTCGGGCGATGTGCCAAGGCTGTTCTCCTGGCAGGCCTGTACATGGCTTTGCTGAAACACAGACTACTTATGTATGCCCATATCCAAACATTCTTCCGCCTCCTCCTCTCACAATGCCTTCTGCTAGCCCTTCGGCAATAGCACCCTATCCACTTAAACTCGATCGCCGCAAATTACCACAGCATTCTTTTTGCATTCCCCCCCCCTCATCCTGATAGGACTGGCGAATCTCACGGTAAGGGATTTGCTGCGGAAGGCTCTAGAACTGATGTGATTGCAAGAATAAATACTGGACAGAGTGATGAAGAACTCCAGGAGTTTTTAAAACTGATGATAATTAATATGCGTTCTCTGATGAATAAACTTCATTTACTCCGCACCTTCATAATTCTGAATAAACCTGATATGATTTTACTCACTGAAACCTGGTGTCATGATTCTATGCCCAGCCAGCTGCTTTCTATCGAAGGTTATAAGCTTATTAGAAGTGATCGAAAACAAGGCAGAGGAGGTGGTTGCATAATTTACTACACTTGAACCTCACTGTGTCTGAATTCACACTTCCACTTATATGCCCCACTAATGATTCCGCTTGGTTACTTTTGTCCTTTGGTACTAAGCGAACTCTTGTAGGCCGTATATACCGCTCATCCGGGGCCAGCCTCAGTGATGAGAACCAGTTGGTTGACATCTTTAATTACATCTCGGATCTTGGTTCCTTCGATAAAGTTGTAGGTGGAGATTTCAGTCTACCAGATATCTGTTGGTCAAACTTAGTAACAAACGCGAAACATGCAGAGTTCATAACCTCCGTCATCACTGGTAGTTTAGAGCAACATGTTCTCGTGGCTACCAGGGGAAAATATATTAGACCTACTTTTTACTTCAGGCACCTCCCAGATGGCTACTGATGTAATTGACGGTCTCCGTGGATGTTATCACAAAATAGTCAGATGTAAACTTATAGCTGAGTCGTCGCATGTGAGGTTTGCGATGGTTCCACACTTCCTGCGAAATATTAATTGGGTAGATTTCTCAGCTTTGCTTAGGGTCCAAAATTGGGACCATTTCTTTCTTTCGTCTGATATTAAGGGAGCCTCCGATATCTTCTATGACAATGTGGCTATGTGCTTAAGCATACTTGCCTCCTGTGATAATACGAGAGGCTCTTCTAAGTACGCTAACAACGCAAAGGACGAGCGGAAAATACGAGTGCTAGCTCGAACATATGAATGTACTCAGGACTTCAGTGTATTACTGTGACTCCAACGCCTTATAATAGAGACGGACATGAAACACCACACCCGTCTCATGCAGCAAGAACAACGGGCTGCAAATAGTGGTAATACAAGTCAACTGGTGACTGCATTACTAAGATAAAGGAGAGGCGGCAAAACTGGCCTACCCTCCCACATCGTCATGCCTGAAGGCGAATGCATTGATTCCACAATTGCCATGGCAGAAGCCTTTAACTTATACTTTGCTAGATCCTTTAATGTTGAAGAAGAAACCCTGGAATTGTCAACCTCGTTTCACTTCTCTGAACAAGTACTCAGCAATCGAGCTTAGTGTTGCTACGATAAAACGTATGATTACTTGTCTACGACCATCATACAGACCTAGCCCCGATGGGATCTCTTCTGCTCTAGTCAAACACGGTGGAGATGATGTCCCTCTTATATTAAATATCTTTTTTTCTCTCCAGTCTGATCAATATCCCGAACGTTGGAAAACGGCTACGGTTTTACCGCGACATAAGTCCGAGTCGAAAACCGACATTCGGAACTACCGCCCCATTAGTCACACAGCCATTCTCTCACGCATGCTACAGAGAATTGTTAAGGAACTTTGGTTTCGTTCCTAATATCGCACAAACTTCTCTCACCATCACAGCATGACTTTCTGAAGTCTCGCTCGTGTGGTTACCTGTCAAGTTGACTTCCTTACCCATCTAAATGAAGCAATTGACTCAGGTCATCAGTTCATTGTTATTTTCCACGACATGCAAAAGGCGTTTGACCGAAGTCCACACAAAAAGCTGCTATTTAAATTAAGTAAGTGTGTTGTTACAAATCCGCTTAACTCTTGGATCCAATCGGACGGTCGCAAGTTGTGGATATCAATGGTTACATTTCTTCACCTCGTTTGGACATCAGTGGAGTGGTACAGGGCAGTGTCTTAGGTCCGTTACTCTTCCTACTGTATTTAAATGACATCGTTTCTGTTATACAATTGGGAAGCCTTATTTGTTTGCTGATGATTTAAGGCATGGTTTATACGTTCCCAGGTTTTCAGCGTACCGATGAACTTAACAATATCCAAAGCGACTTGAAAGTCATTGAGAAGATGGGCTGATATGTGGCAGATGACATTTGCAACATCGGGCGTGTAGGTATTCTAGCGTATGGATGTCAGATAGCAG